CTTCCAATAGTGTTTATTTTTTCGTTTGCGAAGTGCCCTTTACGTCACAGGAAACGCTTTATTGCTTTTATTGTTTAGAAATTTAAAAAAACTTTAACGATCAACATTATAATATTTATATTAATATATTATTAATACGCAACGATTTCTGATCATCCTAATTCTATTTCAAATCATAAAACCACTATATTTCACTAGCTATACTTATTCTTGATAATCTAACGACAAAATTCAAGATTCTACCGACATCTATCGCTTCTCTAAGTTATTGAATACAACTTTTCGTTACAATGACGATATGCGTGGATAACAACATGTAACGATAGCGACAATGTCGTTAAAAAAAAGTTAAAGACGCAACCAGATTCCTTTAAATAATTTGTTCCGATGCACCGTATTCAAAGATGACAGCCGATCTGTCAATTCTTTAACAGCTTCACGACAGTTCATTCGAAAAATGCTTCATATTTCTCAGTGTAACCTCTGTTATTGTATGTTTCGATTTTTTCTACTGAACAATAAATTGAAATCTGTCTTATTTATGTAAACCGTTTTTGAAAATAAAAGGTGAGTATATATTTTTAATATAAATATTTAGTAGTATTAGATTTTTTTTTAGCTGTGTACATATGAAATATTAAATTTGGATATAGCGTGTGCATGTACAGTTTATTATAAAATTTATATATATTAGGTTAGTCAAAAAGTAAAGGGACAAAAAACAAAAAAATCCCTTTACTTTTTGATTGATTTAATAAATTTTATACATAAAGAGTAGATTTTGTCTATCTAAAGATAGATTTCAAGATAAATCAAAATTTATATTGCAATTTTAATCACGTCGCAACTATTATGACAATGTATGTTTCTTACATGTTTCAGGTAAATTTAATGATCCCATGGATGCGTGATCAAATAGCAGAAGCCTGGCATAACAGAAAAAGTTCAAGGACTGCCGATAGGCGGTCCTTGGCCCTTTCTTCTGTCAGCACAGGCAATCCTGCAAGCAACAACACCATGCTTACACCATTACCTACCTCACCAGAAAGCTTTTCTGTCAATGTTATCAGGTTTCTTATGAATTTATGTGATTTAATTGTTGAAATTTTAAGAAGTAATCTTGTATATCAGGATTAATAATACTAGATCTTCTTATGTAGCATAGAGGGCAATATATTGGATGTGACGGTAAAACCAGATTTTACTGTAGAAAATGTTAAAAAAATAGCAGTGATACATTTTTATGGTCAAGACACGACTAAATCCATTTCACGCTACCGCCTAGTTCATTCATCCAAATTTAAGCAGCTTGTGGATGAAAATTATATCGATGATGAGGATATCAATGAATATGGTAATTCTATCTATATTAAGCTAATATTTTTATATATTCTCTTATATATCTTTTTCTTGATAGATTTCAAGCTTGTATTAGATACATTATTCATTATTCATTTATGTCTTTTTGTTACAATGAACAATTTATTTATTGTTACAGATGAATTATTATTAGTAGAAATTCGATCGAATATTGTACAAGAGAATCTTTCAGATGAAGCTCTTAAGGGTCCAAATCTAGAAGCAATAGCTCAAGCTACAAGAGGTTTATCTAGTCAAAATGTTAAATCTAAACCTGTACCATCTACAGAATGTCCTGCAGATGTAAGTATATTTTGTATACTTTAGAAAACATAAATTGTTATATTACTTTATCTTTGTAATTATTTATAGTTTCAGAATGAAATTCGTAAGATTTTAATAACTCTTGTGCAAGCATCTGCAAAAATTTTAATGCATAGTCCAGATGCTGGAAAATTATACGATATCATTAAGGAAAAACTGGAAGCCAGATGTAAGCCCACTAATGATCCAAAAGTTGTAAAAACTCTTATAGAAATGGGCTACTCTCACAAGAAAGTTTTCAAAGCATTGCGTCTTCGAAAGTAAATAGCAATACTAAGAGAATTATATTAATACTCATATTCTTATGATATATATATATATATATATAACTTGATTATATGCTATAGAAATATATCCTTGTTTTAGATCAAATATGACAGAAGCTTTAGAATGGCTTATAGAACATCAGGATGATTTAGACTATGAAGATGACGAAACAGATTTTTTATCTATGGATACAACAACGGACGAAAATGTTGCAGGTCCCAGTTCTTCAGTGAGCACTAAGAAAAAATCGTTAAAAGATGCATGCATTGAACTCTTTGAAACAGGTAATTCATGTAAAATAATACTTTAAACTGAGAGCAGTAAAATACATAAAAGTATATATTTCAAATTATTACATATCAAAATGCTTTTAGATCACGATAAAAACGAAAAAAATCTAATGCATATTATAGAATTATTGTTAGAAAGTTTTCGACAATATAAGAAAATGGAATTTAAACCTAATAAGAGAGCAATGCGGTCGCTCGTGGAAATGGGTTTTGATGAAAAGAATGTTATCGGAGCATTGAAAATTACTGGAAATGATCAGGCCAATGCTGTAAGTTTGGATGATTAATGTTGCGAAAGTTTATACTTCATATTTTTAAATAAATATGTTTTGATAGTGTGAATGGTTACTGGGTGAAAGAAGACGTAGCTTACAAGACTTGGATGAAGGCTTGGAATTTGATGGTCCGATTTATAAAGCAATTATGAGCAATTCTCACATTCAGCTTAGTCTTACAAATCCTAAAATGTTACTTGGTAAGATAGATCTGTAAGGATATATGAAAAATTTTAATTGTAAGTTTTTTAAAATATTTTACTATTTATTTCAGCATACTTATCAATGATAGAAACACCTGCATCGACAAATGTATGGATTAATGATCCTGAAGTTTCACCTGTCCTTAGCCAAATATCTAAGACATATCATGCTGAAAAACATGCCATCCACATGAATCGTTATACCTAGCGCTATTGTGAAACTTATTTAAGTCTCTGTCAAACATCGATATTTTTATATAAATTTACAAGTAATTCTCGCAGAGATTTGGAATATCAGTCACCAATTAGTAATTACCTGTAAAATTATTGCTTGCTCATATACAATTATATAT